TATTATTTATTTATCACGTGCGTGTTATTTTATTTTTTATGACACTCGTCACCTCGAGGTGAAGAGTTTCTTTAAAATATTATTAATTTTTTCGGTAATATACTTGATAATAGAATTAGAAAAAAAAGTCGTTGGGACTCATCACTTCTGCTAAGGTTTTTGTCGTGGTTGTTTTTATGTTTAATATTATATTTAAATAAGAAATTCATAATACTGATAAATGGAGACAAAAAACAACAAATCATTCGAAATACACATTAAAAAGTAATATTACAACACAATTAATACATTACATTAGGGACGTAAATAGGACAAACCTTACACACACTAAACAGTAAATCAAATCATAAATTCATAAACATCTATTGCATTATTTTTTATGATGTTCTACTTTTCGTAATTAGTATACTCGTCAAAAGTAATATTAAGTTCTTCAATTCTCCACACTTTTTCTTATTGTCGTTCATGTACAAATTGGAACCATACTTATAGGTCTCCATCATCTATATTTTATTTCTTCGTCATTTTTCTGAGTTGTTGAGATGTTCGAGCTGGAAGTAATATACTCAACCGTACGAGCAAGGTCGAGATCATCGAACTTTACAAACAAATCGACATTAGACAAAGAAGAGTTGAAGTATGTCATACCAGCAAGGTCGATATCATCGCTTAGATGAAACCTCGTGCATGATAGTGGAATTCTATAATATAACAAGGATTTCTTCTATTGCTTCCCAATTGAACCCTTCTTTGTATATTGAACTTCAACTCGTCTAGTTGAATATTTTTTTTTGAAACACATGGTTAAAGATTTGCAATTATAAAAAATAGTTACATGAATAGTTGCCATGGTCGCAAAAAACTTAAGATTTGGAAGTGAAAAACTAAGGTTGTTCTAGACCAGTAAAATAGGTTTCACCAGACACATATTTATAGGAAAAAAAACTTGTGAACTGAAATTTTTATGGCATGGTGCATTATATTAGATAGTTGTTGAAATGCAGGTTGTACCTGATATGAAGTGATATATCAGTACTGAGAAATTTCAGAAATGAGTTGACATTTCACTGAAAAGTTGTTGAAGATGATTGATGGGACACTGAAAAGTTGCATTTTTTGGCATCATTGATTATTAATGGCCCGTTCTGAAGAGTATTAATGGCCCGTTTTGACATTTTTGGGCATGATGCATTATTAGAGATGTCATTTTATTGAAAAGTTACTGAAGATGATTGATGGGGCACTGAAAAGTTGTTGGCATTTTTTTGCATCCTGCATTATCAATAGCCCATTCTGAAGAGTATTAATGGCTCATTTTGAAATTTTCGGGCATGGTGCATTATTAGAGATGAAATTTTATTGAAAAATTGTTGAAGATGATTGATGGGCACTGAAAAGTTACATTTTCTGACATCATGCATTATTAATGGAACGTTCTGAAGAGTATTAATGGTTCGTTTTGACATTTTCGGGCATGATGCATTATTAAATTGGCTTGCTTCATCTATATTTTCAATAAAAACCTTTCTGAAGCTATGACTAACAAATTTTTCATTGTCGTTCACTCAAATGGAAAAGCGATCAAAAATGAGTTTGGTGTTATGTTTATGTCACAGAATCCTATAAACATGATGTTCCTTATCGATGTATCACATCGGAAAATAAAGAAAAAAATTGAGAGCAAACATGGAGCTTTTATCTCATGTTTGAGTTATCGACACCTAATTTCAGAGAATCCGATCAAATATAGAGCAATCCAACTTGACGAAAATGACGATGTAGCTATTATGGTTGGCTTGCATCAATCTTCAAATAATCAACTGGTTGAGTTATACGCTGAAATTACATATTTTCCTACATTCTCAACTATTGCACCCGAAGAAACATGAGCATCAGAAGATCTAGATGACCTTGTCGGGTGATTCGATGAAACCCTTGGTAATTTTAGCGAGGATGATGAAACTTTTGATCCACTGATGCTAGACGATGACACACCAATAATTAATGTTTCTGATATCACTGAGGCTACTTCAGAGGGCCAAGGCTTTGATATAGAGGGTGATGTCTGGAAGACAGTGGTAGCTCGTGGTCATGCACACCCGAATCCCCAATGAGGTTGGACACATTCAATAACACCCAATCAACCCGAGATACCACAATCCCAAATGTCTGACTATCATCATCCAGTTACAATGCATGATATAAGCTATAATTCCATGAAGAACCCAGAGATTCCAGATATGTCGGGGATATGCACAGTCCACTGGGGTACATCAGAAGAAGGATCAACGAAGTTGGCAGTTGGGTCATAGTTTGAAACTATGAAGGATGCCCAACTAGCGAGTAAAGAGTTTTTGTCTAAAAACTCATATGGAATTCACTATTGCTAAGTCTAATAAGAAGACATACCTTATCAAGTGTATAAACAACAATGTCAGATGTAAGTGGAGGAAACGTGTGTCATACCTAAAATACAAGATGTTGTGAGAAGTCATAAGGTTCCACAACAATCACAGTTGCATGTTGACATTATTGACACAAGACCACAAACACTTGGATTCTAATTTCATATGTCCATACGTTAAGCTTTTGGTGGAGAAAAATGCAAGGATCCCAGTTTCAATGATAGTGGCATCAATTTGAAATACATTTGGTTATATTACGTCTTACTAAAAGGCGTGGATGACGAAAAAGAAAGTTATGACACTTTTTTATGATGATTGAGATCATTCGTATAATGAACTTCCACATCTGTTGCATGCAGTGGAATTCTTTATCCCAGTAACCATTATTCGCTCTTATATTTATCCTACGACCACGTTTGATGGACATGTTATCCCAAGGAAGAGAGTTTTTGGAGGCTTGTTTTGGGCTTTCAAGTCATCCATTGAAGGTATTCGTTACTGAAAACAAATGGTTCAAGTGGATAATACTTTTCTGTATGACGTATACAAACACATCCTGATGATAACTGTTGCACAAAATGGTGACAAAAACATTGTCCCTATTGCCTTTGCCATTATTAAAAATTAGTAAGAAGAAACATGGAATTTCTTCTTATCAAACTTGCGCTCCCATGTTGTCACTCAAGATGGGGTTTGTATAATCTCTAACTATCTGGGTTGTTAACCATGATTAATATACCGGAAAGTAGGTGGTCGCATCCCCATGCATTCTCGCCTATTGAATCTGTCATATTGTGTCAAATGCTATAACAAGGTTTAAGAATAAAAAGATCAAGAAAGAGAATATTAACATGGGTAACTTATTATTTTTTCCTTCATTTATGTTCTTCATTTATTGTTATACTTAAATCTAACTTTTTTAGGATATGCTTTACTTCAACCTAACTTCCGAGCAAGGCTGGAAAATATGAGGAAATATGGACAAGAGGTTTATAATTTTTTCAGCTGAAATACCTCGAGAAAGATGGTTACAAGCATAATACGATCAAGGTTGACTTTACAATCATCTGACAACCAATCTTGCTGAATGTACCAATTCAGTACTTAAAGGGACTAGACATCTTCCGATGGCAAGTATTGTTCGAGAGACTTACTTTAGATTTAGTAAACTATGGGAAGAAAAATTTACCCAAGTGGAGGCAATGATCAAAGAAGGCAGAAATTAGGCTCCACATTTGGAGAAAGAAATGAACAAAAATTAAACACATACAACATCAATGTATCTTCATAATTTTCCCAGACTCGATTCTGCTTACATTGTCCAAACACTTGTTCGACCACAAGAGGGTGGGAATTCTACCAGCTACACTGGTAATTTGAATAGAAGATGGTGCGATTGTGGTCGATTTGAAGCCTTCAGATACCCATGCGCTTATGCGGTTGCTGCATGTATACATGTTAATGTAGACCTATACTCATATATTGATGATTGTTATAGCTTGCATACTATGCGCAACATATATAGTTGTGAATTTAAGTATCTCCCAAATGCTGCATATTGGATGATATGGATGATCCGTAATGAGATCAAGGTCTACCAAAGCTTTATGGCCACTGTAGGGGTGAAGGCCACAACATGAAGAAATGTCCACATCTTCCAAAATATCTACCGGGCCGATAAACCTTCGTATTTTTATTGCTTCAAATATTGTATATTGTACCTATTTTGGATAATTTATCAATATCATTAACCATATATTTAACTAAACTCAAATTCATACATATATTTAAAACATTTTTTTAACAAAATAAAGAACTTTTCCTCTTATTCTTCCACTCGATAAGTCGTTTGTTGTGTCAGTTTTCTAAGTCTTCATTCTTCTTCTTCTTCTTCTTCTTCTTATTCTCCTTCTTCTCCTCCTCTTCCGTTTTCATCTCCTTATGTTGATCAAGAATAAACTTTATTGACTCTTTCACCAACTCCTCAGTTGAAGACGAGTTTGAATCCGAATCATTAACATCAAAGTAATCAGAAGCAAAATGATCTTCTAAAAATTTCCTGAAATATTATTCCCACAACTGCGTGATTCGATTCACATATAACTCTATCAACTAATCCAACTCCTTTATAGATGAAATATTCTCAAAATGACTGTTGGAACTCGTCACGTCCGCAGAATGAGTTCTAATGGTTGTAATCTAATGGAACTCATCAGCTCGAGATGACGAGTTCCAACGTCTTTTTTTTCAGTTTTAATTTTAAGTATATTATTGGAAAAAATTAATAATATTTTAAAACAACTCATCACCTCGAGGTGACGAGTTTCATGAGATATTAATTATTTATTACGAGCATAATACAAGTTATCTTGCATTGTAGTAAATGCCGTAGATCCCTAATTAAAAACCAAAGTGCCCTAAAACCCTAATTTTTTATTGTCATTAATGGGTCAGAAAAGCCCAAATTATAAGTAGAGGTCACATAGTCCATTTGAGCCTGTAAACCCAGACCGACATGGTCTATTTGGGCCGATGTGTGGATCCAATCTGAATACATAGCATAGGTCTTCAGTCAATAAACATGGGTAGGCGGTAGCACTTTCCGCCACTTTCCAATCTGAAAAGAAAAAGTCTCGAATCGCCTGGAATTTTCACTGAATTTCTCTATATAAAGGGAACTTCTCCAAGTTCTACGGAATCTCTTCTGTAATTTATCTGCAAGAAAATCTAAGGTAGTTAAGTTGGCACAAAGAAACCATGGCTAAAGAGGGGCCTAACTGGGATGGGTTGCTGAAATGGAGCATTGCTAACTCTGATGGAACTCGTCCTCCTCGTAATTTAAGGTAATCCCATCTGTTTTTTTTTTCTTGATTACCCTTTTTCTCTGATCGTTAATTGATTATTAAGTGGGTAATTACTAATTATTTGCTTTTTTTATGTAGCGAGGAAGATAGAAAATGGTTTATGGAAGCAATGCAGTCGCAGACCGTTGATGTGATTCAGCGGATGAAAGAGATAACTTTGGTTATGAAAACTCCGGAGCAAGAATTGGAAGCTCAAGGAGTTACGGCTACTGATATTGAAGGAATCCTTGCAGAATACCTAAGTTTTTTTTTTAGTTTTTTTTTCTGGGTTTCAAGAGCAGCTTTGTTCACATACTTATTTGATGGTGGCAGATATGTTGAATGAGTTGCAAGAGCATGTTGAGTCTATTGACATGGCCAATGGTAAGTTTTCTATATTATGGAGTGTGCTTAATTTCAAGCAAGATATCTCTAGTGTTAGCTATATTTTTCGTCTGCTTAGGATTATATCTTATGGAAGGAGAATCCTTTTTGTGTTTCATGGGATTAGTAATTCCTAAGTATGTTTCATATTATTGAATTCATATTTCCATTATAATAACCTTGTTGCATCATTTAACCTTTTCTGTTTCTGGCCCCTTTCGATTGATCCAAAAATATATATATATACTTATGTGTACGTTTGAGGTAGATCTTCACTCAATTGGTGGTTTGGTCCCTCTCCTTGGTTATTTGAAGAATTCGCATGCCAATGTTCGAGCAAAAGCTGCAGAAGTTGTATCTACCGTTGTACAGAACAATCCCCGGAGTCAACAGTTGGTTATGGAAGCAAATGGCTTAGAGCCTCTTCTTTCCAATTTTTCCTCCGACCCTGATGTAACTGTTCGAACCAAAGCACTTTATGCCATATCCTGTGGGTACAACTATTGCTCTATAGTATACTACTTCTTAACCAGTGAACATGCTCGTGAAAAATCTTGAATGTATGTTGACGTGATATCCTTTCTCATTGGATTTCAGCCTTGATTCGCCACAACAAACCCGGTATTGTGGCATTTCGACTCGCAAATGGATATGCAGCCTTGAGAGATGCTTTGGGAACAGAGAATGTAAGATTTCAAAGGTAATCTTTGGGCAAGCCTGCATTATCTTTCTGTTGATATTAGGTTTTATGGTTTCATTCCGTGATGTTTCCAATGTGAAACTAAATGATTTTTCGATATTAAGTAGTTTCCTACAGTTAAATGTCCGTGTATGTATTATTTTATCTGGTTAGCATCTAGATATCTAGTTTTCTCGTTTAATTGCTTTTTTCTTACAGGAAAGCTTTGAACTTGATTCAATACCTACTGCATGAAAATCAATCAGATTGCAATGTCGTAAGCGATCTAGGGTTTCCCCGTATAATGTTGCATCTTGCCAACAGTGAGGATGCAGAAGTGAGAGAAGCTTCTCTCCGTGGTCTCCTTGTGCTTGCCGGGGACAAGACAGGCGGGAATAGTGGTGGTCTAGGTGAAGACGATGAGAAGCTGAAGCAAATTCTTGAAGAGCAAATTAAGGGTATCAGCTTGATGTCTGCTGAAGACCTAGGTGCTGCAAGGGAGGAGAGGCTGCTTGTGGACTCCCTTTGGAGTACATGTTATAAGGAGCCTTCTTCCCTTAGAGAGAAGGGACTTTTAGCACTTCCTGGTGAAGATGACCCCCAACCTGATGTTGCCAGCCAGCATTTTGAGCCTCCTCTCAGAGGTTGGGCTCGTACCGCTGATTCGAACTCCCGTGTGAAAAAGCAAGATGCTCCTCTTTTATTAGGACCGAGCCCTCCAAATTGATGGCTAGCGATCATATCCTGATAAAATTAGCACTAGATGTGTTTATTTTGGCCTGTTTTTCCTCCTGGTGCTTACTGCTATATTGAATATACCATCGATTTTGGATCCGATTAACCTGCATCCACGCATTATGTTTAATTTGTAATCCACGTTATCATCTTGCATGAGTATTGCTATAGTAGCGGCGTCTGAATTTGGACTAATGGTTCTTGATCTGGCTTTAGTGAGGAGAGTAATAGTTCACTCGGTACCCTTGAGTCCTAGTAACTTCCTTTTCCATTTACATGATGAATGTAAATGCTTCCAAAAGCTCTGTACTCTAATGCTTAAAGTCGCCTGTTTTTAGTATTACCTGCAGTCAAAACAAAGGTTCCTAGTATAAGTTTTGGTCTAAGAAGGTGTAATTTTTTCCTTCTGAAGGAACACATTTTTGCCTACTTGCGTTCTCGGAGTTAGGGGTGTTTAATTGGCCGGTTTATCGAATTGAACTTCTAAAATTTCATTATTGAAATTTCTTTCGTTCTAACCATTAATTGATACTGAAATTTTAACCAATTAAAAATAATTAATCGAGCCGAATAAATTTTAGTTAATCGATCAGTTTTAATTGAACTAACTGAAATTTTAAAAAGTATATATTATATATTAAATATTTTTGATTAATTCGGTTAATTTAATCTGTTAATTTGATTAAAATTGAAATTTAAACATTCATAAAGTTATTAATATATAAAAAATATATTAATATTTAAATTTTTGATTAATTCGATTAATTAATCGATTTCAAACCGAATTAACAGATAATCGAACTCTGAAAAAATCATTAACCATGAACCGACCAAACTTAAAACTAACATACCGTTTAATAAAAAAAATTGGATTCGATCGATGATGAGTGTTCTAGATTGAAGTTATTTACTTGTTAATTCTTCTGTGTTATTGATTTATTATTGCTGACTTGGTTCTGTTTCACTTATTTTCGTACATGAATTAATTTCCAAAACTAACAGTAAAAAGGGAACAATCTATATTTTATTATTATCCGATCGTGGTTGAAGACATGAGCATGACATTGAACATGACGCGGTCTAATGTAACACTTTCTAAAAACAGTCTAATCATCACTATTTGATAAGAGAATGGACGAAATCTTTCATGAATCTTAGATTTAAGTTTGAATTCAAAAACATTTGAGATTTATCTTTTAATGTTTAGGCTAATTTATTTTTGAATTTCTATGTTATCTTTCGGATATTAGAAAACTATAAATACCCCTTATAGGGAGTACAATTGGATTTTTATTTTGTTACCTTGTTTTTATTTTATAAAAGTATTTTTTACTCTAAAGTTTTTTTTACTATTTTAAAAAAAAATGATAAGTATGATTACTCAATTCATATTATGAGAATTGAAAATCACTTAATATTTTCGGATATCATTCTCAATTTTCTAAAATCTTGATTTGGCAATCGACCTTATCTTTAAAAATCTGAACATTTTCATTTCAAAAAGTCAACGTTAGTTTGAATGTTATTCTGATTTACAGTTGGGAAGAATAATTGGTTGATAGCAAATTTAACTTCCTAAGAACAAACTTAGAGGCAGTCCACTAAGGGAAATTGAGATCGAATTTGATTCTCATTGAGATAACATAATCTGAGTCGAGCTTTTCCAGCGCTTTAAACTGTTTTGTGCTAATGCCTATAGTCGTAGTTAGTCAAATCAATGACTGGATTTCAAAGATTGACTTAGGAATATCGGTTTACTAGAGATAAAAGTAAGTTAAAAGGGTTGGACCTTATAGACTGTATCCGACATGAATCCCGAAGTGAATCTATTTCGATAATCAAAATAAATTGAGGCAAAGCGAAGTTTGAGGATATTTTTTCATCATTACTGTTTTCAATTATTTTCAACTCTTTTACTTTCATTCTCTATTATTTTCACAAAGTTAATTTTATTTCAATTCTTATATTACTATATCATTTTTCCTTTTTATTACAGTTTTCAGTTTACCTGGATCAGAATCAACGCAACTTAAAGTTAGAAATTTTTTAATCCCTACGGATCAACTCTTTCTTCTCTATACTACACTTATTCCTTATTTATTTATTTATTTTGAGAAAAAAGAATTTTATTTGACAATATACGACACTTGTCAATCAGTTTAATCGATTAACTGGAATTTTGAATACCCTACTTAGAGTACCTCATTCTCAACAAATAACCTTTTAATGTGACTTTTGACAGTTTATATGATCTATTATAGCCAAATATTTTAATAATAATTTTATATGTTTGATTAGACGACGTCTTATAGATAGTCATCATAATTAATTTTGTTATCAATATTAAAAAATACTATAAATTACAAATTAATTATTAAAAGTCGCTATAAATTACATGGTAATTGGAGTATGTGCTCTCACAGTTATAAAGTTATGGATTTTAGACTAGATTTATAAAATTTGAGGTATTTTTTGATAAAGTAAATATTAGATTGGCGATTAGAAGATAAAAAGGTAAATTAAAAGATTTGAGACTCAATGATCGTTGGTGGTTACTAATTTGGGTCGATTATGTTATGCTGTACAGGACTCTATTTTCCACAAAAAAAACAACACTTAAAGGGTGAATTTTGCAGATTTTCTTTATTTTTGAAACCAAAGTTGTATAGATGGGCATGACGATGTCGACGTGATAGAATCTGCAGTCCAGTCAGCATCAGTTTTTAGAAGACGATCCAATCAACGGAATCAAGGAGGAAAACCAGACGGACGAAAACTCCTTAGGATTTAAGAATTGCAATTGAATTTAAATACTTATTATTTAATTATTTAGGATTCTAGTTTACTATTATTTAGGATTCTAGTTTTCTATCATTTAGGATTTAAGTATTTGAATGTTTATAGAATTATCTTTAGGAATTTTATTTTCTTTAGGATATCTCAAACTATAAATACCCTTAGGGTAAAGCTTGAAAAACATGTAATGTTATTGGCTTTAATTAACCTTGGGATTTTTATAAAGTTTATTTTTCTTTTTCATATTCTTTATTTTCTTTTATAGGCTCAGTATGATTTCTATCATGCTTAGCTAAACTTCCATTTAGCTGATAGCTGAGAGAAGACTCAATCTGTTTCGTGAGAACTGAAAAAGTCGCTTAAATCTTCAGATTTCTTTCTTGATTTTTGGAAATATAGGATTGGCAATCAGCCTTTCCTTCAAGCATCTCGACACTTTCAATCCAAAGAGTGCACATTGGCTTGATTGACGTTGTGATTTACATTTGCGGAGAAGAGTCGGCTTGTAGCAAATTCAACTCCCTTAGAACAAACTTAACGACGGTCATCAAGATTGAGTTCGATTCTCATCGAGACACCATAACCCGAGTACAAATTTTTCCAGTACCAAAACACAATATTGACGTTAACGTCGATAGTCGACATTAATCCAAACAAGGGCTAAATTCCAAGGATTGGCTTTGGAAAATTAGTTCACCAGAGAGATGAGCAAGTTATAAGGGTTGTACCTTGTAGATTGTAACCGATAAGTATCTAAAGTAAAATCTATTTCAGTGATTGAGACGAATAAAGGTGAAGCAAAGCTAAAGGTCTCACATCATAACTATTTTCAATCTTTTATTATTCTTGCATTCTTTATTTATTTATTTTCAATTTATTTTGTTTAACTCCCTTCTTTATTTACAAATTTCTTGGTTAAAGATCAATTCAAATTGACATTTGAAATTTTTAAATCCTTGCAGATTGAACCTTTCTTTTCTATATTGCGTTTATAGTTTATTTATCTGAGAAAAAGGCTTTTTTTATTTGAGAATTATGATGCTTGTCAAATTGGCGTCGTTGTTGGAGATTTCAACAAATTACTAATATTATTTGTTTTAATTTATGATCAAGAAAAATATGGGTGAACTAGTAGACTACGATCATGAAATCGAAGCACATGCCCAAAAGTTAAATGCACACACTGAAACACACATTGAATTCAACAAATAATCAATTCTGATGAATGAACAAACAATCCGAAAATTAGTCGCAGCTTCTGTAGTACAACAACCGTTATGCATCGAATTCCCTCAAGGCAAAACTCTGTTCCTACTCAAGACGAGGTTAATTCATCTTCTACCTACTTTCTATGGATTGCCCAACAAAAATCCTCACAACCATCTCACTGAATTTCACATGGTTTGCTCCAGCATGAAACCATAGGGAGTATCTAAGGATCATATTAAACTTCATGCTTTTCTTTCTTTTTCTTAGCCGATTTGGCTGAGGATTGGATATTCTATTAACCTCATAATTCTAATAATACTTGGACTGATATGACTAATTTTTTCTTGACAGATTCTTCCCTACGGTGAAAGTGAGTGAACTAAGAAGAAACATCTTAGGAGTGCGACAGAAAGATGGAGAGTAGTTATACGACTATTGGGAACGATTCAAGAAACTTTATTTTAGTTGCCCACAACATGTACTATTGGAGCAAACACTCATTCAATACTTCTACGAAGGCCTATTTCCTTTAGAGATGAAGATCATTGATCCAACTAGTGGAGGAGAACTAATTAATGTGATTCTGAATGCGTCCAGAAACTTAATTTCTACCATGGCTGCCAACTCTCAATAATTTGACTCTTCTAGTGAACATACTCGATGGGTTCATGAGATAAGTACAATTTCATTGGAAAATAAATTAATAAGTTGGCTGATATAGTTCAATCTCTTGTTGTAGGAAAAATAGGTACAACGAGATTATGCGGGATATGCACAATGATGAACCATCCCACATATTATTATTCGATGTTGCAAGAAGAAACTACCACATAAGTTAATGTAGTAGGAAATTTTCCAGGACCTGAGGCTAATCCTAACGCAAATACCTACAATCTGGGGTAGTTAGACCATCCAAACTTCAACAATGGGCAAAACTTAAGGCTAAACCAAGCGTATCAATCGAGGTCACCTCTATCTCAGCCTTATCAACCGCCAAAATCATCATTGGAATCCATTATCAAAAGATTGACACTATCTCAAGAAAAATTTCAGAATAGAACTGAAGCTCACTTTCAAGGGATCAAAAAACAAATAAGTCAACCGGATCAAACTGTGGGACAA